ATAAATAGGGAATACTTTTTTTGTGTGGATTTAATTGGATTCAATTGGATTCAATTAGATGCAATTGGATTGAAAAACTGCATTTCCTATTCAAAATTTTGAATTGAATAGTATTCACACAGAAAAACTAATATTATTTTTAAGGCATAGAAATATACTCCGTGCAATTCTATAAATGAATAAAATTTCTATAAATGAATAAAAATGCATTCAGGATTAAAAAGCATTCATTTTAACAATCAATATTTCTGAAATCTGAATCCATTTCAATTCATTTTAATCCATTCTCATTTGCTGGATACATAAATATATCGAATGACAGCGAATGTCCTACAGTTACGTGTGAACAGCACATGATATCTTCCTTAGTGATCTAATTATTGCAGAAGTCAGAATTGCGAACAAGAAAAAGTCCATAATTAAGGAGTATTATAGCAATAACTAGATGACCACTAAACAAAATATCATGCGCTGTTCACACTATAAGACATTCGCTGTCTTTCGATATTTATGTAACAGTTTGTATTTTTGTAATTGCATTAATAAGGACCTAAATTATTGGTCAAAACGTACATATGCATGTTTGTTAAATATTAATAAAAAAATTTTTTGCATACCGTTAACTGCATTAGCTCTTAAATATTTACAATTTTTGTTTCCTTTTTTTACAAAAAGTCTAATATAAGATATTTTGTTAGAAAGTTTTCTTCAAGATCTAATGCATTTTATAAAGTTAAAGTTAATGGCATTAGGATATTTATTAAATGGATCGATTTATATTAGTACAATTAAAATTGTAGCATTTTTGTAATAAAATCTTTTTCTCCAATGTCAGCGATTTTAAGTCGCGTAAAATTATTTGTTATCCATAGCAAGCAATCGACGTGCGTTTGGCTATATGATGATTAACTTGAACGAAGGAATCTTGCACTGCATTCATTTTATGGAGCATATTGATCGTCGTAATAAGATCAGATAAAGGGGCAATATTGAATTTAAAATAAAATAAAGAACAAAATTATGTACGATCTATTTGTACGATACGCCGCTTTCCATTAGTAATCCGAATATCGGTATATTATCGATAAGCGATTAATCTGAAGCCGTTTGCAGAATACGGAGAGAAATTCTATCGCACCAGGAAATGCATGAATCCTCGATAAGTTCGAATTGATAGCTCAGTTGTAATAAGCATCGCACAACACAATCGCGTTAGCAACCGGATTTATTACGAGAGTATTAATTAACAATAGCGGGCTGGCCGTTGAATCAATCTAAATTTACGATTACATTTTCGAACAGCAGAAAGGAGAATTGTTGGTTTCACTGAGAAAAAATCGAAAGGATAAGACAGAGAAATACATCATTAATGAAATTACGAATGTCCGTATATTTGACCTTAGCAGTAGTGTATGAATAGTAATAAAAATAATAATAATCGCATCGTAATCATATCGCTTCTAATAACATCGTGACATCTTTCTCATAAGAATCTAAAAGTAGTAATCATAATAATACAATCGATAAATTGCGCTATAATAATTACTATACTGTAAAAAAATCACTACCATCTTTGGGAGACAATGCGTAAGAAAAAGAAGGTAAGGTAGCAATGCCGTAGAAACTTAAGATTAAAGGTTAGAGAAATCGAATGTGAAGAAAAAGATGCAAAGAAAGAGGGGAAAATTGTTTCGTACAAAATTAGTTTGCAGGTCTAGTTCAAGATATAATTAATAATATTACTTTATCATAATATTATATTCAAATTCCTGCCAATCGTAGATAACCGTCTGTAAGCTCTCTTTCTCTCTCTCTCTCTCTCTCTCTCCCTCTCTCTCTCTCTCTCACTCTCTCTCTCTCTCACGCTCTCTCTCTCTCTCCCCCCTCCCCCTCTCTCACACGCACGCACGCATGCACACGCAAAAACGCACACTCACTCATTTTTTCTTTCTTTACATTCTCTCCCTTTTTCTCTTCCTTTTTCATTTTGAGTATGTCCCACTCATTCTGTCTTTGCGCGATGAAAAGCTTCCGCCATTTAAAAAGCAGTCTTTCGTAGCACTATGCGGAGCTCTGCCCCTTCCTGTGCCTTCTCGTTAACGGTATAAAAAATGTCTTGTCACGAACAAGATTTCACGATCTACAACTGACGACTTGTAAGACGTTTGCTTCTCGACGACATTCGAAAAGTCGCTAATCGATCGACGTAGAACGCATAGTGAAGTTAGACAACACACATTGATTGTCTAATTACACCATAGTAAAATGTATCTCTCCGTGTGTCGCGTGCGACATCATGTCATATATTTATTTATTTACGAATACATAAATATATGTACAAATGTCTCACGTAATCTTATTTCGCTCGGACCGTTAGAAATCGGACCGTTGTCGCGCTTACGTATTGCAAGTCGCGTCATATTACATGATGCTTTGCGTAAAAAGGTGTAGACTCCGATCGACGACAAGATCGCTTCGATGCGTGCGACGAGCAAAGATATGTCAACTTGACTAAATTGGACGAAAAGAGATATTGTTAGAGTACATTATATCGCAATAGTTGCTTACTCTCACTATGACGCCATGCACACGTGCACAATGCATATACCTCGTTTTCGCCCGAATACATCCTCCTCAGTCGCACGATTAAAACGTCTGATCGGATAATCTTGATGTTCTTGTCGCACTTGTCATGTTGTCAATTAAATACGTTTCTGCTACAATTTCTAACGATACTCGATCCAATATTGATAAAATCCCTGCGCAAACATTACGTATACTGATTGTGTGCACATTCGTAAACTCCATTAGTCGTAAACTTCCCACGTAACGAACAAGTCGCGTATAATTGGGAATTTACTCTTTTTTCCCATTATTAACACTGTATGAATCGGCCTAGGATCCGACATCGATAAAATAATGATTTAATGATTATATGAAGAATTCCCTTTCAAACCGAAGAGAAAGTATCTTTGAGATTATACGAGATTAGACCATAATAACGCTTCTCGGAAGCGAAACGGCGATTCACAATCAAAGAACGAGCAGGAAAGGGGAAAAGCAGGATGCTCTCTTTTAGCGCGCGTTATCTCGCTAAGTTGCAAAAAGATCCCACACAAACCTTATGGAAATTGAATTTCGATCAAATTGAAAATTTGATATGTTATAGATCTTGTCGTCCTGCACAAAGGATAAAAAGTCTGCACAAGCACGACTTCCTGTAATGAACGATTTGATCTTTACGAGACTTCATTTTTCAAAACTGATACTACAATATCTTATTTTCAACGAATAAGGTGCATTCCTATATTATTATTTGCTCTTTCTATGTATATTTAAGCAAAAAAATTATAAGGATAATATTGACTTAATTGTTTCTTACAAAAAAAAGCTATAAGAATATCGAGTTGATAATTTGATTTTTGAGATTTAAATCAACGCTGTATTGCTTCATATCTAGGGCGCAGAATTTTAGGCACGATTATGGGGCACGCGTGAAGAATTGCTGCGCTCTTCGTTTATATTTATATTGAGTAGACCATGCCAGTCGAAATGTTGCTATCTCATTTGAGCGTACGGCTTGTACGCAGCAAATCTTTGTGCGCGTCTCGAAATCGTGCTTAAACTTCTGTGACATATTAATACTTTTCACAATCGTTGTTTTCATAACTACTTATACTATTAGTTCTTATCAGTTAAATATTTCTTTCCTTTATTATTAAATTATATATTTTTAATAATAAAAATTCATTTTCCTATTGAATAAAACTCACAATAATCAAAAGCATCCTGATTTATGAGAGGTGAGGGGACTTACAATAATCGAACGCTACGTTCCGTTTCACATATGATGCGCATGATACGTGAAACGGAACACAGCCAAAATCCCGATTTGTGAGAAATAATTAGGTCAATATTATTCTTATAATTTTTTACTTAAAAATATACATAGAAAGTGCAAATGACATAGGAATGTACTATATTCGTCGAAAATAAGAAATTGTAATATTAGCAGTTTCGAAAAATGATGCGTAGAGGTCAAAATTTATTGCAAGGGATCGTACCTATGGAGACTTTTTATCAAACCATGATTTATAAATCTATCAAATTTTCAGGCAATTCGACCGAAATTTAATTTCCATAAGGTGTGTGTGGGGTTCTTTCTTACAAAGACTTACATATCGCCCATAAACGGCAAATGTATTTCTCGTGATACGTTCAGAGTGAGTGTGTCAAAAATGTAAAAAAAAAAGTACTGGAAATTTGAAAATATGGAAAAGAAAAAGATTAGAAACTTGGCTATTCATCCCGCGACATCATGCGTCACGAAATTTCTTCGATACAGTTAATCTATTGTTTATAAAAATGCGACTCGTCCATCAAATGTCTACCCACATTATTTCATTTCGCGTCATCATCATCGTTGTCATGCTTTTGTTCGCATGAGCTGGCGGAAAGAACCGCAGCTGCTATAACTAGACAATTAATTAACGTTAGTGATTGAGGGGATGGGCAGAATAAAAACCTAATTACAAAATCTTGATATTAATAAAAATTAAAATAACTTGCTACTTTTTTTATTATACATAAATGGATACAATATTAAATGAATTTATGTAATGTTACTTTAAGAAGTTACATGTTATAAATCTTCTCTATTACATGTTATAAATTTTCTCTATCAATATTGATATGAAAAAGCTAATTGTCGAAAAAAGGGCCTAAATAGAATTGTGCCTTTATTTTGCCCATTCCCTCAATTACTCTCACTTAATTCTAAATTTATCATGATATCGCGTTATATGTAAAGATGTCATCTCCATTATTCATGGAGCCAACCCATATAGCCAGCCCATCGTAAAGTGTCCGCTTTTTACTAGAGCGTTGCTACACATTTCGTTAAAACTACACCAGAACTTTTCACTAAGAAATTAGCAAACTTCGACAAGAAAATAATCACGATTTCGAGCCCTATATGAGCTTCCTTTTTCCGTCTGTCTTTCTTTCTTTCTTTTTTTTTACTCGAGATCTCTGAATCTTTACGACACTCATATTTCGATTATCGGAATATATCCTTGATTTAAGAAAAGTCTCTTAGAATAGGGCCTTTTTTGTACAGACCGATCTATCGATATTGCACGGGTTTTTTTTACAAAACAGTTGCACGGCAACAACCGATTAGCTATGCGAGCTGGTAATTCGTCAACACTGTTCTTACAACTACAATTTTTCCACTCACAATTTTTTAGAAAGATCTGCACAAATCAAGTTCATACTTTATTACGTTATTCTAAATCATCTTCTGTATAAAACACTCTTAATTATTAACTATTCGCCAAACATGGTAAAACACATTTTTATTTCATTTTTAATATTTAAGATTCCTTGAGAATTAAGGTCTTTACGTATACATACCAACGCAAAACAAGTACAGACTTATCGTAGTGATTAAGGCGATAAATTTATATTTAAAAAAGGGATAAATTTATATTAAAAAAAAAGAAAGAAAAATACATAGAATACTATTAATACGATTTACCAGCATGCAATACATCGTGCACTCTTATTTTATGGAGGGGCTGGAGAAGAATTCGCTCTGCGATTCGGCCGCACGTTAAGCTGCATTACGCAATCCGCAAGGCGAACAAGTGAAAAAACAGAGGAATTTCTTGACAAGCAGATTGACGAATGTTAACGTCCCCGGTGTGCTTCGTAACGGCAACCGGGTGCATTGTTGGAACCTATTATCATATTCTTCAGCTTCTTCGTAGTCATTGTACGAAAGATTATGTGAATAATGATGAGGATAATGACGATAATATTGACGTTGACAATGCTGTTGATGTTGATAAAGATGTTGGATACGGTGTACGCACTTCCTGGTCTCCAAGGCGCTGGGTCCTGGCAGTGAAGGACGAGCGAATGTGCGCGCCGATGCTGTATATCCCGATACACGCGGAGGATTGTGTAGCGGAGATAAACGCGAGGATAATAATCTTGGGGCCAGATTTGGCCTCATTCGGGATCACCAGTTGGCCATGCCCGGTTTGTTTAGAGTCATGAAATAGATCTGGCACGAACTACCACCCTTCGCCGACGAGAAAAATACCTATATACAGATAAACCATAAGACATAATGTTACAAATTTTATATATATATATGAACAAAAAGACATAAACAGGCGGATGGATTTCATACATTAATAAGCGTTTCAATTAATCGTTAAGTGTTATACATTTCAAGTTACACGCACCTTATCATTACGTTCACAGAGGAACTTGAGTCGTTGAGCCTTCTTGTGCATAAAAACACCATCGAGATGACCACTCTCCACACTCCTAATTTCAATCGCCTTGTTGCCCCAACCCATAATTTGTCCCGTACCAATGTATGCGACACTCGTAGGCATCTCACCCCACTGAAGAACCATTGTCTTTGATACTCTGCCATAAGTATTTACGTATACACCCTCATTATCATAACAGAGTAGCAACTGCATGCCATTACTGTTTGGCAACGCTACTATACAGTGCGGACAAATAGGACCCTGGGTCTGCGATTGAAAAACAAATGATAATACACATTATCATCAAATTTTACAAAGAATAAAAATTTAAGTAAATGTACATGCTTTCAACTGTTTTTCGATTGAATTTAACAATTTATAGACTTGAAATATCATTAAAGAAACTTGACTCTCTGAATATTTGAAATTTTTAAAATAAATTTATCATGCACATATGCACATATGCACACACGCACACGCGCACGCACACACACACACACACACACACACACACACACACACACACACACACATAGTATTTTTTTATTATTAAATCTAGTTGATTATTTTTTATAATTACTGAATTTAATATTTTTATCGAAGATATGTCGAAATAGATTTTAAGTAATACAAAGTACTTATGAATATTCTACTCATGCATTATTGATTATCATCGAGAAATTAAATTCGGATTTCTTGAACGACGAGATCAGCCAATAAATCGCATCGCGCACATTTACCAATATGAATAAACAGATCTGAGTTTTCTTACATGTTTTGGTAAATATATATCGTAAACTGTGGCGGAATCCAAATCGACCGCGTGAAATCCATCAGCGCTACCATAGATGACTTTCAATCTTGAACTCTCCTCAACTGTCAGGTCAACCAATAAAGGTCTGTGCGCAAGCTCGCCAAAAGACTTGAAGGCCATAAATTTGTGGTACGGCTTTGGCGCCCAGGCGTAAATCTCTATGGAATCTTTCAATGCGATCACAAGGAACTTTATTCTTTCATATTTCACTATTTTGAAATGCACAGCGCCCTGCAGATCACCCACATTGATCCAACCGTTACGTCGTTCGACTTGCTACAAATATACAAAGTAATATTCGATTAAAACGGGTACCCAGAAAGGAAATTCTTTCAATATGCGTGTGCGTGTGCGTGTGCGTGTGCGTATGCGGGTGAGTGTGTGGCTGTGTGCATGCGCGCGCGTGTGTTATGTGTGTGTTGCGTGTGCATGTGTATGCGCATAAAATGAAAACTTACATCACTGTGACCATCTGTCCGTAGAATTTTGCTCTTCAACCAAGAAAGATAATAGACGCGTACTCTATTTTTCTTACCGCTGATCGTAACCAAGATATTTTGACCTTCGAGAACTTCCATTTGTTGAAAACGTCTTCTACTGATCAATTGGTAAACCTTACCCTGTCCACTCCTATCCAACAACATCAAGCCGTTCTCGGTTCCAATTAATAGATTTACACCTGTAAAGTGATAAGAGTCGGTTATAATCCGAGCATACAATTAGTGCGCAACAAACGAAGATTCTACATGAACTGTATACGCACCCCATAACGCGGCACAGAGGATCTCGCTGTTGAAACGCTTCTTGTATTTGCGTATCTCAGGTGTATCCGATGCTAAATCGTGGCTAGTGGGAGTCACATTAACGTTTACGTGGGACTCTCTTCTCGCTGGACCAGCTCCGAATCCAAAAGTCAGAAAAGATCGCTGCTTCTGTTGAAGCGCAAACGGAGGTGATTTCACCGCTTGTCGATACTGCAACAAAGATGACTTTACCGTTTGATTAAACTCCAAGAGAAGCGTGCCAAAATGCCAGGCAAAAACTACTTTGCACGCAAAGAAATGCTGGAGTGATTAGAAGAATTTGTCATCGACCCAAATATTGCTATCACAATCAACAGAAAAGATACAAATCGCAGAAACGCGTAAAGTTCCCCTTTTTTCTATCTTATTTAAATAGTAAAAAATGCATGCAAAGGACTGAGTGAAGAAAAAAAGAGAGAACAAATTAGCAGAGTCAAATATGCGATATATACATAGCATTCACACAAACAAATTATCTCGATTGCAAATTAAAGCATTTCTTCACAGAATAATATAAAAAATGAAAAAGAATAAACATTCGCATGTAATCCGTGTAAGTATATGTATCGAAGGGATACGTTTGGTAAGGATTAAGCAGACTCGAAATTAGTCAACTCTGTGTTCAATGACATCCGCAATTACACTATTAGTTTGTTATTATGTATGCTTCGTGTAATTCTCGAATGACACTCAGTATATAGGATTAAACATTCGCGTCGTGAAACAATGTCATCTACTCAAGGCGCATCGTCGCATCGTCACGTTTCACATAGGTGAGAAACAAAACCCAGAAAAAGGATAGAAAAAGAAAGAGAGAAATGTGAGAACAAGCAACGGTGGTCGCGTGTTAGAGTTATCATTTTATTACCGTGGTGGCACCAAGAATCACACACACAGAAACAGATCCCATAAAAATCAACCAAAAAGAGGATAAGATAAAAACGGCCTGAGCACGTACACAAAACTGGCATTCATTCCCGTGGTACTTAATGAAAAAAGATCAACGTTCGAGAGCAAAATAACACGTGTCCTCATACCTCTGTTCCCGCCCCTCGCGCGAAAAAGCGAGGAGGAGGAGGAAGAGGGAAGGATAGCAGTCGAAATTTTTTTTTAATGGATAAATAGATACTTACATTGTAATTAGTATTGGGATTGGAATGGTCAGTAGAGGGCCCTGCCCTTCGAGTTAGAGCTCCCGCGTGTCCCACAACACACAACATAATCCTGAATTAGTCACGCTGACAACCGTATAATTGACGCTTAATAGAGATCACATGTGAAACATGAGACATTGCGAAGTCCTATAACTATCCTATCGATCATAAAGCATGACTATACAGCCATCTTTTTTATAATATATACAAGTCCAATTTCGATCTGTTATTAGAATGATTACTGAAATTAAAAAAAAAATCTCTTGAGAATTCCTAGATTTTTCAGGTATTTTTGTTCAAAATTCTAGGTAAGAAATGTTTAATGCAACTTTGAAATAAATTAGAGTGTAACGCAAATAAATTAAAAATTAGTAAAAGACAGGAAATCCATGAGACTATATCTACTATTTTCTACAATTAAAGCCGCGAAATTCATAATAATAGGATAATTTAGAGATGTCCAAGATTAGATATTTTTGGTTTGAAATTGAAATATGTCGGTATTCATGCTTATTACCGTTCTTACTCCTCACTTGCTGTTTCATCGTTTTAGCGCATGACATATATTTTTAGACCTATACATGTATATAGTGTATAATTAATAGTATTATCAATACTATTAATTATATATTTCGTTTTGTTATATTTCAGTAATTATATTATGGCTTCCAAATTTATATAGGGTGTCCGGTAAGTTTTGACAAAGCGCTCATATGTAGATAAAACGGACTAAACTCAGTCCTCTACAATTTTACAATTTTTGTAATAGTTAACAAGATATTAATTACTAAAAATCGCTCTAAATATTGATTTTCAATAATTTTTTATTCAAATATGACTTTACAGAAAAACAGCAAGAAACAAAAATTGTTAATTTTCTTCTCATAAATTTCTGAGAATTTTTTCAGAATTTTTTAATACCATATTTTCTCATGTTAGTAAAAAGTCGTCAAAAAAATGCAGTAAATGCAGTACTAAAAAGTTGATACAAAATTCTAAAAAAATTCTTAGAGTTCTCTGACAAGAAAATAAACAATGTTTATCTTTTGCTGTTTTTTTTTTGTAAAGTTAATAATATTTGAGAAAAAATTATTAAAAACCAATATTCGGAAATTTTTCGTAATTAATATTTTGTTAATTATTGTGAAAATTGCAAAATGATAGAGAACTTTTCAACTCATGTCAGTATAGCCCACTCTATACACGAGCGCTTTGTCAAAACTTACCGGATACTCTGTATATACAAGGTGAGGCATTTTAATCGCTCAGACGAATATTTCAAAAATTAAGAGAGATACAAGAAAAAGTTTTATATAAAAGTTATAAGTTTTTTTGGGGGAAAAGAAGGTGGAAAAGACGGATTTTGGATAGGGTGCACTGTCAAGGTCAACATAAATTTTTTAAATGGAATCTCTTATTTTTTATTGCATATTCTTGTTAGCACACCTCGAGAACTTTCCAAAACACTAAATAAAATATTTTTTCATCAAGTACTTTTCAAATTATAAGCCTTGAAAATTACAGTATCGCCGGCATTAACATTACCCAAGGAGTACCACGTGGAGGTTACATAGTTGGATTTAATCTCTTGTGTGCATATATGCGTGTGCATACGTGCGTGTATGGAGAAGGGGAAAAGGAGTCAAAGTTACACATACTCTGTTCTTATTTCTATTTGTTGACGGGACTGATTATGTTTTTGATAATCAATCAGCTCCAGATTAATAGTATGCATTTTCTAGGATGCTTAGCATTATCCAGGATGAATGACGTGACGGGAATTTCATCCCATTAGAGTGCTTGATTTACGTGAATCTTGCTTCTGCCTGAGTCTCATATGCGTATGAGCGCGAATGTGCTTCAGGTTCACATTATATTATTTATAACAATTCTTCGAATGTACCTATATTTATGTTGATACACAATTGAATTCGCTTTCTAAATGCTGAAATTCTTAATATTTCAATTGGATAGTTTAGAAATATATTAATAACATAAAGTATAGGTAATAGGAGTCAACGCTGGTTATCAATTAGCGCAATTCTTTTTAATATTAAATAATATATAAATCTTGACCTTGAACGTTTCCACTTATGATTTGAATCTTCATCAGCAATCTTTCCCCCTAACACAACGGTTGGATTATTGCTTTACAAAATAATATCTCCAATGTTTTTCCTCTCAAAAAATTGAACTGTTGTGAGGTAAATCACATATTTACAAAGTTAGAAAGCTGAGTGGCAATGAGAACTCAAGCTCACATAGTCGATGCCCCAACGCTGAACAATAAATATGTCGTATGCATTTTATGCATTATTAATAAGTTAAAAATTATCATTATTCAACTGATTATCGAAATGACAAGACACAAATTGTTCTCTCAGTATTTTAAAATTTTAACGATAATTTTTAACTTATTAACAATGCACAAAATTGTTTTGAATCTTGTTCAAGATCATATTCTGGATAACATTTGTCAAGATCAAGACCATGGAAATTATTCCTCTTACTTTCATTTTTGCACAAAAAAATTTATATTTATATGAAAATTTTAAATAAGAAAATAAGAGGTATAATCTCCAATAGTTTCGATTTTGACAAATGTTATCAAAAGGTTTTAGCCGTCGGTCGGATACCTTACGTAATACTAATATCGGCGGTACTGTAATTTTCATGCCTTATAACTCGAAAAGTACTTTATTGAAAAATAACTTTATTATAGTATTTTGATAAGCTCTTGACATCAGCTTTAAATTCTGGAATTAAAAGTAATTTTTAAAAAATCCATTTAAAAAAATCAATGCGACCTTAACCTGACCTTGGCGACGCCATTCAAGATCAAACTGATAAGATTAGTAAATAGATCTTTTTAACCTACAATTTTTTTCTGAACATTTTTACCTTCCTGCGAAGATAAAAGGGTGGTCTAAAACACCCGGTATGTATATATAGGAGAGACTGAGGTCAGTTGAATATAGGGGTAAGTAGAATAATCGAGGCTACATTAAAAACAACATGCGAGACGCGTAAATGTGTCTGAACATGCAGCAGCGACTGTCGCTAAGTCTATTGTAACATCTTGTTGCAAATACATCTATGATAGAAGTTACGTTACAATTTTAAAAAATCGTACACCTAAGTAAATATTTTTATTCTTAAAGTTTTTGTTTTACAATATATGATTGTCTGAAATATTTTATTTCCACTTAGATAGTAAGTGTAGTTCTTACTCAATAAATTTTTTTCCAACAGATTTTTTTTTGTTTATGTGTCTTTGTTATCGTATATTGTTAATTTTTAAAAAATGAAATGGGGATAGTAGACTAACCACAGCATGGAACTATATGACTCATTTAGTGACGACTCTTATACTTACTCAAAATTTTATTCCTTTAACGAGATTTTCCTCAGTGGTAAATGTTATAAGTTTAGTTCCCTCATGTCCAATCTCAAAAGCTAGGCTTATTCGACGTGTTTTTGCACGAAATGAACAAATTTTGCAAAAAAAAAGTATTGTTTTGTCCTGCGAAGCGAATGTTTGTGTTTAAAATATATTTTTATAAAAGTTTTATTAATATGTAGCCAAAGATGTAGCTTAAAATACATTAATCTTTATTTTAATAATCTTAGTCGAATTACTCCGGTCCCGGGACTAATTGAATCAGATGGAAAATTAAATGCATTAGAAAAATGCATTTTTTTTTCATATTAGTTAGTTTCCTCTTATTATTAAAATATTATTAGGTAATAAAATGTATGTAGTAACTGGTAGAATTCATTTTTTTGATAAGTCTCTTAATTTCGTCTCTAAAAATTCGAAACTGAAAAATGAGTATTAACCCCGGTCTCCCCTATATATATATATATATATATATATATAGAAGCTACGTCGCGCAAATTCATAGGACGACCCACACTCGAGTGAGAGTTGTAGGCGAGCCATCGATCATTCCTCCGCTTGATTTTTGGCATCAACAGTAAAAATTTTTATCAGAAAAAACCTGATTCGTCGCTTCGTTTTTCAAACAACACAACAGCAGATTGCAGCAAGCAACTCGGCTTGTTCTGGCAGCCTCAGAGAGCATTTGTCGTATCTTCAATGTGTACGAATTATATCAAAGGCCCTCCTCGGCAATTCGATGCATTGTTGGCTCGCTTACACCAACAATCGATGCTAATTTTCGCAACGATTGCCCTAGGTCCGAAATCATCGCTTAAGTCCTTTCAACAACTGCAGGAGTCCTCGCGGTGCATTCTTTCGACTCTTCCTCACATATTGGAACCTTCGTTGGACTGTTCTAAAGCCATATATTTTGCCACAATATCATAAACGATTGATCTCGGGTATCCAAAGAACCGAATTATTTCCGTTGCTTCGCCTAGTGCGAAGGTCTTTGATGATCGCAGCTCTTCGATTATACTTCTTGGTTTCAACATCGCGACCATTTTGAGAATATGATTGTTTGACTAGAAGCAGGCTTTCTCGGATGCTAACAACGCCTCTGGCGGAGGCACAATATAGCGGAAAATTTAAATTGAAATTTGTCCGGATTTTGATGACGCACCCTGTAAATAAAGGTTGCCTCTACTTTTTTAAATTTAATTGTATAATTTTTTTAAACGATAATTCCTTTAATTATTCTGCATATAAAAGTATATAAAAGACATGAAGATTAAATCAAAGTCAACTTCGTTTCTTTAAATGGAATTATAAAAATTTTTTTACATAATATGATTTTTCTAACTATTCTTTATATAAAAATATTAAGATAAAAGTATTGAGAAATCAATAGTTTACGAGATATTTTATCCCTTACTCCGGCACATATTGACATAAAATATTAAATAATTCATAAACTATTAATTTTTTGATAATCATACCTTAATATTTTTATGAACAGAATAATAAGATGAATCAGTTGGTGTAAAGAAAACACATAATTGCTTTAAAAAAATATGTGAGCAAAATGGATAATAATTTTTTAAATAAGCAACTACATGTTTTCTTTCCATCAATTGATTCGTCTCATTATTCTTTTCGTAAAAGTATTAAAATATGATTATCAAAAAATTAATAGTTTACGAATGATTTAATATTTTATGTCAATATGTGCTGGAATAAAGTATAAAATATCTTGTAAACTATTGGTTTTTTGCTACTACCTCAATTCTGTTATATGCAGAATAGTTAAAGGAATCATACTGCATAAAAAAATTATAAATTCCATTTGTACTGCAGACGATATGACCAACGTATGCCAATATTAGCATATATCGTACATATACATGACACAATTACCTATATTGAATATAATAAATATTTAGAAAATGTATGTAAAGTTGGTCTATACATAGGCCAAATCATTTGGAAGCACCTTAAGACCGAGCGTGGCGCATTATGATAAAATAATGAAGTACAAACGGTAATAGACATATCGATACATTTCTATTTCAAGCCAAAAGTACCCAGTCCAGGACAGCTGTAGGATAATTTAAGAAAGATTGACTGCAATAGATATAATATTAGCTATTCTATTCTGTTGAGCATCTACCATTACCCTGATTTTTTTTTAAATAAAAAGTCGCCAGACACACACACACACAAGAATGTAAATATACAGATGTGTATATCATACATATTGGTAATTGATTGTCAACATCTTGCATTAAAAAACAAATGATCAATGTAACATTGTTTTAAGAAACAGACATTTGAAAATAAAATTTGAAAATAAAATTTCTCAAAATTTCCCAGAGTCCCGATAAAATTCCATGAAAATCATTAATTTATAAAGTATAAAAAATATTTTCTAAAAATTCCAGGTTTTCTAGGATTTTCCAAATAGTAAACATCCTGATTACATTATTCACAATTTTCACGTCTCTCCTTGCAGGTGAATAAGAGATCGGTATCAGCGCTCTTGCATAAAATATATTTTGAATATTTTATTTGCAATATACACAGTGCGACAAATATGTTCCCGGACAGGGCCTGAAAATCATAATTGAAACAACAATATGCATATTTTTTGTTTTTATTATTCAAAATATTCTCCTCTGGCTTCAATACACT